CAAATTATATCAAATCAAATCTTCCTACGAAGTAAGGCTAAAAAGAAAAGAAGCGATTTTTTTCCACTTTCTATACGTTACCCTCGGTTTATTATGTATCTCCAGTACATTGTACACAAACAGATTATTTCAAAAAGAATATTGTAGAATGTTCTTAATAATAATCATATTATTATTATTATTATTATTATTATTATTATTATTATTATTATTTTTCCTCTACATCATGATTAAGATTTTATGAGTTGGCTGAATATAAAATCTACTCCAGATTGCAACCAGCTACCTAAGAAGCAGATCTAGTGATTGACGGTGCCTCTACAATACTTTGTACATACAATAAAATGTGGGTTGTTCTAAATAAAGCAATTTCTTGCACTTCCTATTCTTTTGAATGACCTGCGAGTTTAGCAAAGTTCTTACACAAATTTTCGAAACAAGTCCCAAAGCTTCGATGACTATCGGTACGACCTGTGCTTTTACGCCCCACATTCGGCTGATCTCGATTTCCAAACACTTTTATTTAACACGTTTCTCTGTCTCCTTGGTTACGACGTTTTGATCGCAAGACACAGTAACATCTACAAGTAGACACAATGTTTTTTCTCCAAAGCCCGGATAACAACATCAGGTTTGTTTGCTGCTATCGAGCGATCCGATTGAATTTGTTGGTTGTACAATATTTTATAGAGACCAACAGATTGGTTTTGGTGAGTGTTCGTACCACGTGAGTCACATGTTTGGAACTTCGAGGGTGGTACAGATCTGCCAGTGGAGGTACCTACACAACCTGTCGTGTCTTTTTAAGAATTCGGTCTTTGCTCGAATTGGACAAGCGGAGACGATATGATCAATGGTTTCTACTTGTTCCTGGCATTGATCATCTTCGGAAATTTTGAGTACCGCTTTATCATAATGTGTTCCCAACTCCTGATCCTAAGCAGCTATGACCACTGCTTCCGATTCTGGCTTCGTTCTGGTCCGATTTTGGCTTAATTCATTCCGACCCTATAAATGATTTATCTTTATTGATCTGCACCTTTCCCATTATTTTTAGATATTGTTCATGGAGTAGTTTGTATCTCCAGGATTTCTTTAACATTTTTTGTGTCTCATATTTCATGCTTAGTAGCATCAGAAGTTCAGTTTCTGTTATTCTGCGTGTCTTGCATAGTTTTCTTTGCAATGCTTCTTGCTACACTAACAATTCCCATTTTTTTGCCATTCTTCGGTCAGAATTCATGACCTGCCTTATTATAGGTGATCTTGATGACTGACTACATACTTTCCCATCCCGACTATTGCATTGTACCAGGAATCTTCAATTTGTCTGAGACCTTTTCCTCCTTCCTTACGTGACACATAAAGTCTATGTACGTCAGCTCGAGGCTGGGTGACATGATGCATTATTAGCAGTTTTCTGATTTTTCGGTCCATGATTCGAATTTATTGTTCAGTTCAGTCCACGACTCCCAAACTGTACTCGACTACAGTCACCGCCAAATTACCTATTGCAGATACTTTATTCCTGGAGTTCAGGAAGGACTGCAGGACGAGTCTCATTCTTCTCTAATACCCCCTACGAATTCTCTCTTTCATTGTGTCGTTCGAGATGGTTTCACATTCTTCAATGCCCAGGTATTTGTAAGTTTTACCTGGCTCAAGATCTTGAATCACAGTGTGCATATCAACTTCAATGCTTTCTGACGTCACTTTGCCTCTCTTTAAATTGATTTTGCTCTCTTGTCAAGACCATACTTCTTGCAGATATCATTGCTTAAGTCATTCACGACAGGCAGAATTTGGAAGAGAATCGCTTCATTTTTAGCAAACACTCTAAGGTCATCCATGTAAAACAAACGTGATACTGGTATTTCATTACCATGGAACTTGTAACCAAAATCAGCTCGCGACAACTGTCTAGGTAGTGGGATCAAACTAATGCAAAACAGCAGAGGGGATAGCGAATCTCCTTGAAAAATACCCCTGTTGATCTGAATACTTCTTGTTTCTACTGCTCCCTTTCCGCTGTATATTAGTAACATGATACTCCGCGGCTTCATACCACCCTTGAAAATCTCAATAAGTCTAGGATGAAATCGATAGATCTCGAGGGTCTTCAAAATCCAATCGTGTAGTACACTGTTAAGGGCCTTCTGGTAGTCAACCTAAGCCATGTTTAAATTGCGCTCGTTTCTTTACATCATTTAAGATGACTTTATTTAGTAGTACGATTTCCTTGCAAATAAAAAAAATTGGTAATATTACGTGGAAGTAGGATTAGAGAAAAAATTAAAAATATGCATGTCACCTATTTTCAACCCTAGACGTCATAAAAAAAGTTTTAAGTCGCTAAAAATAGTGATGTCTTGTAAATGTGCGATTTGGCGTGGAATGACTCAAATAACATTCTCGGTTGGCTATTTGTCTAATAAGATTAATAAGTAATACAACGGACTCTGGCCGTTAAGAGCTTTTCGTTTGTAGATGTTAAAAAAAAGTATTACGAAAAAAACCTTTGTTGTGCTATTTGTATCCTCGAAACTATAAAACTTATAATTTACAATTGTGGGCAAGCTGCCACAATTGCTGTTACGTCGAAAAATGTTGAACTGACACTTCTCTTACAGATCACCTTCTCAGGCGTTGCACGCAGAATGTGCAGATGTAATACAGCTAATGCCATCTTTTATGAGACAAACGCAGACAACGTAAGAAGCGGAGATGCCCAGTACGATGTACGAGAACCTACTCTAGTTATCAGTCTATCCATAATGCAAGCAGAAAGAAGAAGCATTGCAAATATGACCGCAGTGCAACTGATAAGCACTACAGGACAAGATGCAAGTTTAAAAGTAGAGAAGGCAATCTTACATTAAGGAAAAAAATTAAGTGACCCTTTTGAAACATAGGTATCCACTGTAATTATTATTAGAGGAGACGCGTTGCTTACTGTAGTATGTCCAAAACATTCACAGGAAATTCACAAAACACAGTGCTCTTAAATGATGAGTGTTATATAAAAACTGGCAAATAGAAATTTTACCATTTAAATATATTGAATTGGTTTATGTGTGGAATTAAATCCCTTCAAAATTCTATTCATGTTATTAGGGAGGTTGTTGTGGACAACATGGTTTGCAATAACCACAAGGGAGGAAATATTTGTATTGTTCTTTTGGTAGTGTATTTAAACAGATGTTTAATAAAATATAAAACACAATTACTTAGGTGTCATAATCATAATATTATAAATAGAAAAACTTACATGATTAAGGAGTACATTTAGGGAGTGTTAGTGCAAAGAGCACAGCTACTCAAGTACTCACCCCACACTTTTTCTACAGTCGGTGTGGCATTTTGATCAGTGGAAACAGGGTTCCACACATCCAATCCAGGACAATCTGATAAAACTGTAAATTGATTTCACAACTCCAGCCTCCCCCCCCCCCACATCTCTTAGCAAATTCTCAATATCGCTCTTTTATCTCACAACGGGAGAGGTGGCTCAGGGCATCTACTGGTGTCACTGCAGTGCTTCTGACCGGGAGATCCTTGATTCGAGTCCTGTGGGTGGCAAGATTTTCGACACTAGCTAGATCGAATTCGGTCGTTGTTTGGAGGAGAATTCTGGCGGCCGGCTGTTCTGATCGGTAGTTTTCCGTGGTTTCTCCGATCAAGATCCGGAGCAATACTCTAACTAATCTTCTCTGTCCTATCATCACTACTTACTTGCACTACACTACCACACAAGCCGGGAACGTAGAGCTTGTGCGGTGCCCCGCTGGTGGGAGATACCTGGTTGAGGAAAACCCCGCAGCCGTCGGTAGGTCGGCGCCGAATCATGTCACATTCCGGGGGAAACATGCACCACACTTATGGGGCTATTGACCTTAGCAGTTTACGAGCCTGGAATCACTAATCAGTCTCACTAACCTTGCTGGTAAATGTATGGCCAATAGTTTTCGTATGAGGTCCTTGCCCACTCTCTTTTCAAAATAGGACTGAATAGCTTATAACAGGTTTGTCCAACTGGCGGCCCGCGAAAGGTTATTACACAAAAGAGAAAGTCACTTGCATCCATGTCGGGGAGAACATTGTGCATCTAAGGCATAGGTGCCGGGGTCGACACCACCATAATGTAAAAATAGGTTCTTTAGATTTAAGGATTTTTTTTAGAAAATCCAGAAATTCAAAATTATTTTAATGTGTTCTTCTCCGTTACGCACAGCCCGGCCCAATATCGCGCATGGTTTCATCCCCCCTCCCCGTTTCAGAGCAGCCGGGCAAACTGCCTATATCAACAGTAAAGAGGTCAGTCAAGAGTGTGTATCGCCCGAGTAATTAAAATATGGCCTGCAACCATACTAATAGTGTTAGTTGTGGCCCTTGTAGTCTTGCAAGTTGGACATTCCTGGCTTACAAGGATCACCAGTCTCTTAACAGGGATCCATTTTATAAGATACGGTGCATTTCCCATTTTTTGTTGTTTTTCTAAGCATTACTGTATTCATTTCCTTGATTCCCTCACATTTCTTGTATTGTTTTCTCAAATTCATGCAATTTTTGACAATCCAGACTTTCCTTAATAAGTGAACCAAACCAATGTCTGAAAAATTTTGTGAAAATCATCTGATATTAAAATATCTGAATTCTTCCTTAATTTCTTTTTATTATTCCCAAAAATCTGTCAACTAGCAGAAACAAATGTCCCCCTACAGGGAAGAAAAGTGTGATATTCTTCAGATGATGAGGGGGCAATATTAGGGAGATAGATTGTCATGGCATGAAGAACATGCTCGTTCTTGTGCTGACCCTCACACACATCTTCAAATAGCTTCATACCCTCAGTTTTGAGCGGGTGTAAGGTTACTGCCAGGTCAACAATAATATGAGCTGATCAGAATATCCAGTAGAAAACTTCCAGAGCAAACACACAAAAATTAGAGTAGAGGACAATATAGGATTTGCACTAACCATAAGGAAATAATACAATATGAAACAACCACAGTTTTTCAAGCTTCATTTACGCAAGGGTAGAATGCGATTTGAGTGTACAGAATGATAGAGCACTTAAAAATACACAACAAAAAGATGTCAAACTAATTTTTATCTAGTAGTGGACATAGTACAATTTGAAACAACGCTCCTCATTTTTTATTCATGTCACAATTATTAAATTATTTCACTCACTGTACTTTACACTCCTAAGAGCTTGCAATCATGTGGCTGATACCTGGTGCCACACCTGCACAAGCTCAGACAGGAACATAATTCGTACTAATTGTTAGAATTTAGAACACACTTTGATGTTTATAAAATGAGAGGTGTGATGTATTAAATTATACATACTATTTTGCAAACCTCTCCCACATCTTTAATATTATAAATAAATGGGTGCTTATTCCTATGCGATTTAATGCATTTTTGTATACAACAGCTTCAAATTTTATCTAATGATTCACTAGTTCTTATTTTTATCATCAGTAATCTGCTTTTATCTGCTGTATCTGTTACTCTACCATATGTATTCTTACCTGAATCAGGTTTGAAATAATTATTAACTAATACCAATCTCAAGTTAATCTAAGTGCGGATGCTAGGTAAGTTTGAAAGATGGTTGCAAACTAGATTATGATAAAAGAACAATAAAAATAAACTTTATTCAGAAAACTGCTTATAATATTCTCTCTTCTCAGTTTATCGAACTCATGAAATCCAAATACTCACTTGCCAAGGTACTGTATAACTTACAAGATAAGCAACTAAAGAGAAACAAATTTCACTTAACAACACTCATAGTTTTATAAACTAAACATTTTGAATTTTTAATAATTGCAATACATCCATTTGTTTCACCTTTGCATGCCAACATGAGATCCTTTTGACCTTCACTATTTATCCAGAATTTTGCAAATACTTTTCATGTAAGCATCCCTGAACATCCTAAAAAAATGTTGCATACATTTTTATTCTTTCTGTATCAATGTTTTATTAATGGGGGAGGTTCAATTCGATTCCAATGGGCCACTGTTTTAATTAAAGATATTATAATCTTTTACAAAGTTGTTGTACGTTATCAAACAATGTTTCTGGTATCCAGATAAAATTCAAACTGGGATCAAACAGACCCCATGGTTCTGGTAACAACCTTTTTAAGGGATTAACCTTACAAGGAAACTTCAACATCATGCAAAATTTTTAAATTAAAAATGCCAAACAACACAACACAAAGAATACAGCTGAATGTCATTAATTCATCTGAGAAAAGTTCACAATATTTCTTTCTTCAAAAAACAATAACATATTTTAATGTTTTTAGATGTCTTCACTAAAACAAATTTACAAATAAATTGTGGCATATCCAGAGGAAATCGTATCATCTTTTAACATAATATTTTCATGAACTATTCTGATGTATTTTCATTACGGTATCACCAGTTGTCTGGAAAGAGGAAAAACCACATTAATATGACCTTAAAAACACTAACAGCTAAAGACATTTGTACTTAAAATGTTAAAATGTTCAACAATCTCCCGTATTGTTATTAAGAGGTGTCTGATGCAGAAGCAGTATCTTCTTATTCTGTGTTGACATTTGGGCGTAACTCAGATACCTTCTTTCAGCTGGTTGAAAGAATATAGTGTACACTGTATTTTTCATAAAACATGCATGAGCAAGTCATGAAATGATTTTGAATAAATGTTTAAATTAAAATATATTAATTCTATTATGCAGTTTATTATTTGAGTAAATTCACTCTGTGATTCAATGTTTAACAAACACACAGGGTATAAGTATCCTCAGATAAAGAGATTCATACAATGTCAATGCATGACAAACTAGAAAAATGTAAATTTTATAGCAAATAAAAAGTTTTGATTTTACTTGATTAATAGTTAAAACAATTTTGTGGTGGTGGTGGTGATGGTGATGGTGGTGGTGGTGGTGGTGATGGTGGTGGTGATGGTGGTGATGGTGGTGGTGATGGTGGTGGTGGTGGTGGTGATGGAGGTGGTGGTGATGATGGAGGTGGTGGTGATGATGGAGGTGGTGATGGTGGTGGTGGTGGTGGTGATGGCGGCGCGGCGCAAAAAAAAAGAAAGAAAGAAAGAAAGAAAAAAATTGTGAAAGTTGTATTAAGAAACTATATGAATTATTTCATTTCAACAAATAACAAAAATCACAATGTATAAGCCAGAAAAAGTGTTTGGAAATATACAGTTTAAATAATAGTTTTAAGTAATGGTATTTAGTGAGCAAATAATACAATTTTCACAGGGAGATTAACAGTAAAAAAAAAATTTGTTGTGTTACGTGTTTAATAAAATCACTTATTAAATACATGGAATAAGAAATATGAATTTCAGTAGAACCTATTTCAATGTTAGAGTCATTTTATTAATTTCATAGAATCCTACCTTATAAATAATGACTATAATTAAGAATTGAAGGTAAAAAAATAATTGTCAATTTTATAAAATATCAGACTACTGTATCGCGACTTATAAAATTACTCTAAGGATTTCCTTGAGTTCTAATTTCTTTTCCAATTTTTTACTATTTTTTCCCCTCAGTCCCACCATTGGGCCCTTTGATGAATGGTGCCTAGGGCGAACGCCCAGTCTGCCCATGCCTTGCACCGGCACTGGTGGTAAGTGGCAATATTATTTGTTTTGGTGTTTAGTGAATATTAATATAGTTGAAGTATTGCAGGAGCAAACATAAAATATAAAGGTTCTAATATTTAATTACCCAACTTCAAAGGGAGGAGGTTATACAATTTGTCAGGTATATTTTTTAAATGTTCCTAGTCTTTCTTCCTGTTTCTAAGGGAATTGCACTATTGGGAGGCAGGCTCAGTTTTTAATGATTTTCCACACACTCCATTTTTATCATGACTTGGCAATGTTTTTACAGTTAGATGCCCTTCCTGACACCAAGCACAGGGGTCACGCAAGCACATTACACAGAGGCCAACACACACAACCATGCCCGAGGCGGAATTCGAACCCACGATTATTCAGTCTGAGACCGCTACAGCACTATTGCCTTAGCGATCTCGGCTGGCCGGCAAACATTGTACTGTCATAACTTTCCCAATTATGCCGGAATTATATGATTTTTCCTATGCCGGGTAGAATCTAATCTCCTGCTAATTTAATGATATGCTGATAATGGAGACCAAAGGCTTGCAACAAGGCTTTAAACGGTGCAGACACACACACAATTTAAAAAAAAAAGGGGGGGGGGGCTTCAATGTAGGTTTTGAATATTTGAAATCTGGGGGCTGTACAACAAGTTCATAACATTTTCAATCATTTCCGAAAACCTGCTCAATTTTTTTTAATTTTTAAATTTCTTGCTAAAATAAATCAAGTGTAAATACGGTAAATGTCTTTTTCACTAAAATTTCTGAGTTTTGAAAATGGCAAAATTTTATTCAAACCTCTTCGCAAACATCTCCATTTCTACAAATGTTTCCAAACTACAGGCTTTTTCGTAACTGAATCTATTCATCAATACCAGCACTTTAAATTATTTTATTTTTAAATGTGATTAAAGAGTGACTTAGTGACCTAATATATCTTTATTCCCTCCAACATTAAAATGGTACTTCAATCTCTGGGGGATTGAAATAAAAATAAGAGTTTTCCATATGACACTGGGTTAAGCTTAGCTTTATTTACTCTGAAGAATTATGTCCCTTGACAACTGGACTAAAAACACACACTAGTCACTAATAATTTTAAACATACATTTAATTGAAGTGTTTTATATTTTGGAGTTAATTTTACATTTTTTAAATTATTTTTTATTTTGCATCACAAAACTATTGTTTATGTTAAGGAAACTAAACATTTAAATTCTACACAACAAATATTAGTTAGAAGCAATCCTACCAAGCATTAAGCACAATCTCATTGACTAATGGACCAATTATGCAATTATATTCCACATTTAGAGGGAAAATATTTTTTATATTTGACAATTTAGTAAAACTACTTCCAACTACAGTAGAACACCTGTAATCCGAACTAATTGGGGGTGTGGTCTGTTCGGTTTATTCGGAAAAATGTACCGTAGATATACCGGGTGTTTATTTTATCTTTCGCCGAAGATGACTTGCCGCTTGCCTCAGCGATCAAGCTCCGAGAACTTGACAACAAGGGCCACGTTCGTCTGGCGCGTTCGCTGTTCGCCGTCGATACACCAGCGTCCCAAGAGCGTTCAACTGTGCATCACAAAATTTTCTTTAAAGTAGAGAACATTTCTTTACGACACTTTCGTTTAACTTAAGTCTGCCAGAAAGCGCCATAAGAGGTTTATTAAGAAATTTCCGGGCGTGAATATTCCACATCGGTCGACAATTTTGAAACTTGTAAAGAAACTTCGCACCCATGGAATGTTAATTGACAAAAAAATGTGTCGAAAGCGCCATATCATGACAGAAGAGAACGTGACAAAATCTCTGCCAGGTTACAACAATCTTTGAGGCGACTCTTGTTACATTTAACAGGATTCGGTAACTGCTCACTGCAACTGCTCCTGCACATTCTGCAACTGCTGCTGTTCGATCCATGAACTTTTAAAATAATGTTTATAGAGATGACGAATAATTAGTTGTGGTCTATGGCCTCCTAATGATATGACTCCTTGTAACTTTTTTCTTAGGGGGTACTTGAAAGATCAGGTGTATGCAGAAACTCCGCATTCGGAGGAAGAGTCCCAGCGATCTGTTGAAGAGAAAGTCGTAGCAATCCCTCCTACTTCAAAGGGTAAATCAGAATATGTTACGAAGGTGCTAATAATGCATTCTAGCACCACTAGAACATTCTAGGACACCACTTTCAGCATCATCTTTAAGTTCAGCGGCGCAGCGATAGTTCTCGTATGTCAGCACGGGAGTTGGGTCAGGGTTTCGCTGGGCGAATGAGCCCTCGACGACCCGGGCGACGCGGCCACGTAATATCGGCGAACGATAAAATAAACGTTCTGTATAAATACATATATGGGATTACCAGACAATGCAAAGTAGCGTAGCGATCGCATCATCGAGGAGATTCAGTTCCTTACGAATTCCAAAAGACTACAGATTTTGCTATGTGAAAATTACTGCTACATAAGCATGTGATATACATCGTAGTTACGAGCGTAATAAACATTTTATTTCGACAACTTGCGTTTCAATACTTAGTTGTTCAGTTCTACAGTAATTATAAAATCCTTTCTTTACACTACAAATAAGCATTTTATTTATTTTTCCTCCATCACGAATTTTGTTCGGATTATCCGAAATTTCGGATTTGCGGGGTTTGAATTACCAAGGTAGTAACTAAAAATGCATGCCTTCTTTTTGACACCATTACATTATACACACCTCAAATCTGGCAGTAGGTCTGCATCCGAAAGATTGTTTCCTTCATCTTGAGTATCATCTAGGTGACATAAAAAGCTATCGTTTTCATAGGTAGGAAAATAGTACCTGTAAACAAAACATTTCATTTATATCCAGCACACACATAATAACCATCCCTCAACCATAAGATAGATTAGATTATGTTTCCT